TCGGAAAAGTGGTAAAAAGCAGGAAGAGGCGAGCAGAAAACGATGAAACATCTGCCGACCAGCCGCCTCCCCCTATCTCTCTCACACACACACACACACACACACACACACACACACACACTCTCTCTCTCTCCCCCATCCATCTGCTCAGCAGTCCGTCAGATAACACTTCACCTACACCAGAGAAAATCTGTGTACATGACTTTCTAGACGCTTGCAGCCTTGGTCTCTAGTTTCCTCTAACACACACACACACACGTACCTTTACAGTCTGCTGACTTTACAAAGTTCACTTTCCTTTCTTTCTCTTTGTTTCTTTCTCTCAGAAAAGGTCAAAGGTGAGTGATCTTCTCTCGACTGCTGGACTTTAAAATCGGCCCTCGTTGGATGGAAGAGGACAAGTTGTGCTCCGCCCCCAGGGACAGCACAAGAACAGAAAACAAGTGACCTCTCCAGAAGTGGAAAAGACCATTACTTTTGAACTGTACCCATAAAAATAACATAGGAAAAGACGGAAACATAATCATTTCAATGTAAATAGAGAAAAAGGTGACAAAACTCATCTTTTGTTTTTTTCTCTTATTCTGTTGTTTTTCAGTGGCAACCGTGTTGAGTCTGGCTTTGTTATGTGGAGGATGGTGAACAAAATGCACAAACATACATCTCCACAAAATGTTGGACTTTAACATTGACATACTGCACACACAGAAACACACTAACAGTGTTTGTAATCTGCTTTTATGGTATGAAGTAGGCCTACTTATCAAAGTGAACAATTCCTTCATAAGCTACTATGAAACTACTGAACATCAATAATGTGTTAAACATCATTATTATTCATCTTATGAGTCGCATTACATGTATGGAAGAAACTAGATGTTGGCGCAAAATTAATAAAGTTTGATTGGAAAATATTTCCTGTTAGTCTGTCCAGTCTGAATCCTGAGTGAAGGCTCGCCTTCTGACTGCAAGTAACTACATTTACATTTATGTGACGCTTTTATCCAAAGCAACTTAGGATTGCCATATATGTCAGAGGTCGCACACCTCTGGAGCAACCATGGGCCTTGTTCAGGGACACGTTAGGAGCAGGGGGGAGATGAACCCGGGTCTCTCACACCAAAGGCATGCGTCTTATTCATTGCGCCATCACCACCCCTAGAAGATCCAGCCAGACCTCATAGAACCTGATCTCAGGCAAGATGAGCAACACACTGCATCTTCATGGGTTTAACAAATATGATAACTAGCTAATGAAGTGACCGATCATTTATAATGTGCGTGTGTCCTGTTTAAGACACAGAAAAGAACCGTTCTCTACTGTTCCACAAAAAAAAAACCCAGAATGATGAGCAATTGATCAGATTAAGGTTGGAGGGATGGAAAGAAAGACAGATGTTGGTAAGTAAGACAGATGAGAAAACAGACAATATAATAAACTTTATTAATATAGCATTTTTCTTAACAAGGTTATAAAGTGCTTTACTGAAGAAAAAAACAACAACAACAGGGACCATAAAACATAAAGTTAAACATTTCAAATGGCAAGAGTTGGATGGATAGAAGTAAGATTTAACAAGGGATTTAAAAGATGTTAATCAAGTATCCAGTCTGTGAGCTCTAACAGCCAAAGCCCAACAAGCAGATACACAGGAAAGTGTAGGGTTGGACGTACAAAGTGTGTGATCTCTGCGCCCGAGAATGTAGTTTGCTACCAGCATCAGTCTACATCCAGTAGGTTTCTTTTAACCACGACAGAGGTTTTCCCAAACCACAACCAAGTAGGTTTAGTTCTGTAAACTTCATCAGACCTTTACCAAGTCATGTCAGTTTTATTTATGTAGTTTATCACAAATTTACCTGAAGGGGCTTTACAATCTAATCCGTCTGTCTGTAGACCCTAAATTTGGAAAAGGAGAACCTCCCCCAACAAAACCCTTTTTTTAAAAATCGAAGAAACCTCAGGAAGAGCAGGGATCTCCGAGGACGGCCATATGTGCAATAGAAGTGTGTGTATAATCAGGTTGGCAAAATTACACATTGATAGTACACGAGCAAGATGCCGACAAACAATGTATTTTGTCCTTCAGATAGAAGGACTGTTGAGACTGACATGCAGGTAAAGAAACAGACAGTTTGAGATGCTGTTAAGATCAGTGTCTGTTTTAAAGGCTACTATTCTGTGTGTGTGTTTCAGTGACATGTTGAAAAGTAGATCATCACAACAGGAGACTGAAGAGTTCCTGTTTGGCCTCAGTTTCTTTTAATGGATTCACACACTCACTGGGTCACCGCCACATGTAGCCACTACCGCTATAACTGCTTTACCAGCTCTCTGTCACTCGAAAATTAAAACCACAATTAGTACATGAGATGAACACTCACACATTCACCGCTTTCTCTAGCGACTCCCAGCTGGCAATCTGTCGAAATAAAGCAGAATAAAATAATGTGTCGACCGAGTGTAGAGGCTCGGAGGCTTGACGAGATTTCACTCCCTTGAGGTTAAAAGCAAATATATGAAAAGGTGATGCGGTCCGTCTCTGAACAAAACAGGAAGTGACCAAAGACAAAGACAACTGAAAAGAGACCAAAAAACAGCATGCTGTGGGAAGCAAATAACGGAAGCGAACAATGAAGACAGAAAACCGCTGACAAACTGCAAAAAGTGGATTTCTAAAGGTAGAAAGGATGTGAAAAGAATTAGAGACAACTGAAAGAAAAGGAAGGTAAAAGAAATATACATACAATAAAGATAAGCTGACAGATTCAAAGATGACTTTAAGGAACTCAGGCACTACTTAGCATTTCATTCCTCCCCCAGCGCTGAGCAGAAGGGTGGAGCGACACGATTTCAGTTTGTTTCCTTTCTTTTTCGTTAGACTTTAAAGGTTAACCGAGTGAAACCACAAAACACATCAACAGAAAACACTTCCTGTCAAACTGCCCACGTTCTGCTTCCTCCTTAAGCAGAAAACAAGCGCCCCTCCCCTCCTCTCGTCTCCCACCATTTGGCAGTGAAATAATAAAATATAAACTCCTTAATTTTCTCTGGCAATGTTGTTCTTTCACCTTTTTACACAGTACGACATCTCATGTTACACCGCTTTTTTTTCGACAGTGTGTGTGTAAATGTGTGTGTGTGACTCCTCTTACTGTCAGTTTGGAAAGGGGAGTTTGACACAACACACTCTGTTCATTAGCACTTAACAGCTAACTCTGCACTGCTGTGTGTGTGTCCTCTCTTCAGTAACACGTCAACGCCTCCACTCTGAGGTGACACATTAAAACATTCTCGAATATTCTGCTCTGCATTAATTAGCATAGATTTACATGTTAACGAGCAGAGAGAGAGAGAGAGAGAGAGAGAGAGAGAGGCTGGAGGGCGGCAGGCACGTTTTACCTGCGATAAATCTGATTTAATTAGAAATGAAGGAAATAAGAATATGTTTATGTGACACGTAAGCACTGAAAGCTTGTGCGCCTTTATGGGAAACTGTCATGTGAAAAGCTGTTTTCACGTGATGAGTTCATGCTTTGTTTTTTTTTTGTCCGGAAGTATGGTGAATGTGCAATTATTTCACACGTCTGCATAAAGAGGAATGTAAAAGAGTAAGTAGAAGAATATATATATATATAATAACAGTTCGTCACATCACTTTCTTCTAGGAAGGAAGGAAGGAAGGAAGAGAGGAGGGGAAATGACTGCGGATGAACCGTTAATGTTTATAAGAAAACAGGAAGTAACATGATGAGCCTAGAGGTAAATAAGGAAATAACCAGAAAGGAAGGGAGGAATGGAAAGACAAAACAAGAAAGGAATGAGTGGAAAATGGAAAGAAGACAAGAAATGAAAGTAGGAAATAAGCAGGAACGTAGGAAAGGAAGGAGGGAGGAAGGAAAGAATAATAAACATAAGATGCTCCACTGAAAGATGGAGAGGAAAAAGGAAACAATGAAAGGGAAAGAAGAAAGTGATTTTGAACCGTTAAAGACAAAGAGACGAAAGGATGGAAGAAAAAAGTAAGGAATTGAAGAGGGAAACTGTAAAACAAAAAAAACTTTGATGAGCCACTAAAAGAAATAAAGGAGGAAGAAAAAAAATGTATTAGGATGAAAAAGAGTGAAGAAAGCAAAAGGCAGGGAGGAAGAAAATAAACAATGGAGGAAGTTGAAAATCGAACAAAGGAAGGAAGGAAGGAAGGAAGGAAGTGGGGCAGGAAGGAAGGAACTAAAAACAGAGATGGTGTGTGAAAGACAAAGCAAGAAAGAGTTTAAAAATCTCGTTTGCTTCGTTGCACTCAGTAGGAGGAGGAAAAAAAACCCTAGCAGGACACACATGTAGATCACAGATGTAACCACACACAAACACACACACCTTCTCTGACACTCCCAGCTGCAGACACCACCAACACACACATATACTGTGGCATATCGGAGTGTGTGTGTGTGAGAGGAAGTGAAACAACAGAAAGTCTGAAGGGTGTGTGTGTGTGTGTGTGTGTGTGTGATATGAGCAGTTGGTGAAGGTCACTCCTGTTGAGAGGTGCTGCCAGACACACACAGACACTTCCTCACACTGTCTGTCTTGTTCTCACAAAAATAACACAGGAAGTGTTTTTTTTTTTTTTTTTTTTTACATTTAGAGTCAGAGAACAAACAGAACTGTGCGGCTGTGTAAAAGAATAGATGGCTGACGAGCAAAGAGAACGCCACCCACGGAAAATTCAACAGCATAAAACAAATTCAATTTTCCATTCTCTACTCTTAGTATATATTTGGACTTTCTAATGTTTTTTTTGTTTTTTCAATTGTAGTTTCACTTGATTGTCTGTGAGCGGATTAAATTTAAGACTTACACAAGATGACACAAGCGTTGTAGTTCATGAAAAGCTGATGTTGTGGAGAAGTGTTCATCACCTTAAAGTGTCAACAGTTTAATTTCTGCCCCCGGATGGAAGAGAAGCAACTAACTAAAGAAGGTCTGTATGAAACACACCTTTTTTTTGATAATGGCATTTATAAATAAAATAAAATAAAAATATGTAATATAAAAGTAATACAAGGAAAATAAAAACTGAATCTGCAGCTGGTTTGTCTGTGAAAGCTCAGTCTTTCCTCGTTTTGGGTTTCGGGGCTGAAACAGACAGAAAGTAGAATACTGTTAGAGAAAAGAAAACAGTAAAGACAGTTAACAAAAGTAATACAAAGCAAATGGTGAAGAATTGTGAAGACAAAGGAGAGAATTAGGGCTGTCGCGATAACCGCAAAATTCAGATACTGTTGGCCAAGCCAACCGCAGAGGATGGGAAGCACCACAACATCCATGATGTTCAAACATTACACTTCATTACACTTAAATAAATTAGTGCTTCAAAAGTTCCACACTCGTAACGAGCTCTGTAACGGTTCAAGGCAATATAATGTAGTTGCAGTACCGGAGGCTACAGTTTCAGGATCCCTGCAATCCTGTGTCTGCAGTTCTAGGACCATAGTTCTTTTGCGACAGCGCCATCTAGTGGAGTGGTGGTAGTAATGCACAGCAACACGAAGGAGGTTAACCCTGTCTGCTAGCACATCGGCCTCGCAGCTGTAGGGTTAACCGGTCTACATGCATATAATCACTAATTTAAGTTTAGGCGCACACTCTGTGATGGTTGTGATACGGGTAATTGGTTTCGGGGGGCTGTCAATAGTAACATAGCAGAAGCTAGCTAGCTAGCTAGCCAGACAGCTAGTGCAGTTTCGGTCCTAGGATTGGGGTCCTGAAACTGCAGCCTCCGGTACTGCAGCTACATACTACTCGTGTTCAAGGCCGGATCGCCATGGGCTGTTTGCGACCTGACTTCAAACGTGTTGTTTTACTGCACATTCTGCTCCACACCGCTGTGTGTGTGCGCATTGCTGCGGTTTGTAAATTGACTTGACAAAATATACCCTGAAGATTACGATATAGCTACATGTGAAAAGGACACAGACAAACTACAGAAATGAGTTTGCTTGGACCCAGCAGTTAGCGGGCTCTGACCATAAAGCTGCTGTTAGCGGCTCACTGTGCAGCGAGGTGAGATCCACAGACACCCTTCCTATGCTCTAATAATAATAATAATAATAATCCTTATTTGTAGAGCACTTTTCAAAAACAAGTTACAAAGTGCTTTAACAAGTGTAAAGACAATAATACCCAAAAGACAATAATATAAAAAACAATACAAGATAAAAGCATGAAAACATTGAAAAGACTAAAATACAGATAAATATAAAATTAGTAAAATACAATAAAAATAAAAGGGATAAAGTCAAATAAGATCGGGAAAGACTCTCCTATAAAAGTATGTTTTAAGAAGGGACTTAAAAGAGTTCACTGACTCAGCCGACCTGATTTCCTCGGGCAGGCTGTTCCAGAGCCTCGGGGCCCTGACAGCAAACGCTCTGTCCCCTTTAGTTTTCAGTCGAAACTCTGGAACAGACAACAGACTTCTGCCCGAGGATCTCAAGGTACGTGCTGGTGCGTATGGGACTAAAAGGTCAGAAATATAACAAGGCGAGAGGCCATGAAGAGCTTTTAAAGTGATCAATAGATTTTTAAAGTCAATTCTAAAACACACTTGGAGCCAGTGTAATGAAGCTAAAATAGGAGTAATGTGGTCATATTTCTTTGTTCTGGTTAAAAGCCTGGCAGCTGAGTTCTGGACAGTCTGGAGTCGATCAATAGATTTTTGGGTTAAACAGGTGAAAAGGCTGTTGCAATAATCCAGGCGTGATGAGATGAAGGCGTGTAAAATGGTCTCGGTGTCCTTAAAAGTTAACATAGATCGAATTTTTGCTATATTTCTAAGTTGATAAAAACATGATTGAACAAGCTTTGTGGTGTGCTGCTCGAAATTTAAATTACTATCAAACCAAACACCAAGGTTCTTTGCCACAGGCTTAATGTGATTTACTAGGGAACCAGCAGATGGCAGTATTTGATTTGCTATCTGCTGGGACCCGATGACCAGGATTTCTGTTTTGTCTGAGTTCAGCTGGAGGAAATTATTTGACATCCATTTTTTTAACTTCACAAAGGCAGTTGTTAAGTGAACTCAGCATTCCAGGGTCTGTGGATCTGACAGGCAAGTATATTTGTGTGTCATCAGCATAAATATGAAAAGAAATACCATGTTTATGGATAATATGTCCAAGGGGAAGCAGATACAAGGAAAACAAAATGGGTCCTAAGACCGACCCCTGAGGCACACCATATTTAACTGGACAGAACGAGGAGACAGTTGTTTACAGACACGCAAAACTTCCTAAACTTCCTGGCACCAAATTACTTCATTGATGATGCGATAATACTACATAGCTCGTTGTTGAGCCCAAACATGTTACCGCGGGGGAAATTACTTCACCGCGAGAGCCCTAGAGAGAATAGTAAAGAAATGAAAAATGTTTGTGAGAAACAGCATAAAAAACTAAACTATAAAAGAAAATATTAAAAGAAATGTGATTAAAAGGAAAAAATAACAAATGAAAATCAAAAAGAAGAGAAGAAGATGGTTTCTGGTCACCATTTGGATTCTCCTGTTTGTAGAAAGTCTTCAGCATCTCTACAGCTTCTTCTGCTCTGTGACCTGAAACACACTGAAAACACACACACAGTAATGTACACCATGAGGTCAAAAGTCTGCGGACAGCCGAACATGTCGGTGCGAAACCATGAGCACCAAACTGCTGCTATCACAGACTCTACTCTTCTGGGAAGGCTATCCACCAGATGTTGGAACCTGGCTGCAGGGGCTGAAATCACCCACAAACATCACAGTGTAGTACTCTCCAAACACAAAACACACAAACAACAAACAGCTATTGTACAAACATAAATAAATAAAAATACCAGGGACAAACAGACCTTGAACGTTGTCCCGGTCTGAGGTAAGTTTTCAGAGGAAACGTCTAGAACTGAACCGCAGCCTCCAAACCGCTCGTTGCTGCAGCCGTACACGACCACTGGGATATCTGACAGCTGGTAAAGGAACAACAGCTGTCGACACACACACACACACACACACACACACACACACGGGTTGGGGGAGGATACAGAGGAGGCGCAGGGCTGCAGCACACATGATGCATGGCTCTACGGTGACGTACAGGGCCGTTCGCTGGCACACGCTGCTCACATCCAGGCTGCTGCGGCGACACCAGTCCAGGAGCTGGTCCAGGGCCACCATCTCAGCGTGGCGAGTCGCCTAACACACACAAACAGAAACACACACAGAGAAAGCTTAGGTGGCACGTTCTCTTCGAGCTGGATATACCTAACGCCAAACTCCCTTTGAAAATGAAGGTTTTAAGAGCTCCTGCAACCATCCTTTTATTTTATCCTGCTGGATAAAATATCAGCACTGTTTATAAATACCGATAAGTGGAACTTTAAATACCGAAAGCTTCAGTGGTCAATATTCTTTCTATGCACTGTGCTTGTGTAAAGCACATTGAGTTTACCAAGTTATCGTGGTGGTTTGGTGACTATACAAGCTTGTGTTTTTACCGACACGACAGCAATGTTATAACTGACAGATTTCTACATGGGGCTCAACCTTAAGTTTAAGTCTCACACATAAAAACAATAAAACAACTGGAGTTTGTTCAGAGACAACACATTACTTAATTTTTCCTACATTTTTGGTTTCATTGACTTCGTTCCGTCCTTTCCCCACAACTTCATCATTGTAGACCATCAGACATCCAACCGGCACCTCGCCATTCTCCAGAGCATCTTTGGCCTGCAGCAACACATTTACAGCAGGTCAACACACAGCAGCTACACATGTAGAGTCAGAAGGTTTAAACAGAAAGAGTATAAAACGGTATAACATATATACAGTATATATATGTTGGCCCTCTGTGATGTTATCAGGAGACACAGCATCTCTTTCCATTGTTGTGCCACTGTCACACAACTTCACATGTCTCCTGATATCATAGGGCCATTTTTTAAGGTATTCTAGATATTAATTTCTGATGTCATAAAACTTTTTACAGTTCAACCAGGATAAAACTGAAAGACAGAGAAAACTGGTCACAAAATGTATTTCCCATGGACTTATCCAAAGCCAACAAGCCTAAACCTTGGTGCGGTCTTGAACTTTAAACTCATGTGGGGTTTGCAACTAATTCTTTTTTTTAAATCACTTCATAAAAATGACTAAACTGGAACTATTTCTCTCTCTGAGTGACACAGAGAGACTAAAGCACACTGGACCGCTGTAATGATCTCCTACAGCCGACTCAGAAGCCAGCAGTCCAACTTCTTAACAGAGCCCGAAGAAGAGAACACATTACTGTTTTAAAGTCCTTACATTGGTTGCCTCTCAGTTTCCATATTGAATTTAAAACTCTTTTACTTATTTTTAAAGCACATAGTGGTCTTGCCCCGCATATATGTCTCACATGCTCACAGTGTATGAGCCTGTACATTTACCCCTCACGTCCTCCGGCCCGAGTCTGTATGTTGTTTCAAAAGTGCAGGACTATAATGAAGCAGTTTTTATGCCCTGACCCGCTGGAACAGTCTGCCTGAGGATCTGAGCAGCTGGAAGTGCTTTAAAACATCCTGGCTATATAAAGAAAGTTCTTGATTATTCACTTATTTTATTGCAGTTATGTTGTAAATTGTTATTCTTATTTTATCTTTTAATTATATTTTTTAATCCCACTTATAGATTATATCTTTTTAATCTATTTTATTTGGATTCTACTCCAGCTTTTATTTCACTCTATCATTACAGCTTTTATATCAATTTTATTGTGTTTCATTGTCATTATTTTCATCTTTTTCATTAATTTTATTTCACTACTGTTTACACTTGTTCTTGAAATCTTTAAAAACAACTCAAACAAAGACTTAGTCAAAGTTACTAGGCTGAAATGTTGACAGATTATCACTAACCATGTCGAAAGCGCTGGCCATCCACGTCTCTATTTCCTCATCACTCGGGTGGAAACTCTCCGCCGAATCAGCTTTACTGCCCTCCTCTCTTCCCATGGCAACTACTACTACTTAACAAAGGTCATATTATTATTTAATGAAGATTTATAGATTATTTCTTCACTGTTTTGCTACGATTGTGTCCGCTGTAGTTTCCACGCCATTCAGGTACACCGGCAGGGGGAAGATAATACGGGACGGACCAGTTCCAGACGTGACCGCGCATCACGCTTTATTCTGTGCGTCAAGTCGATTACAGTTGGCTGGATGCACACCGGAAATGCGGATAAAATAAAAGCATAATTTATTAAATGTATTTTTCAAGCATGGAACCGTTTTCGTCTTGCTCACGCATCTCAAAAAATGAGCAAATCGTGAAAAAGTTCATTTTTTCCCTCGTAATTTAAGTCAAAAAGTGAAACTCTCTTTGTTTTAACCTTGATGATTACAGTGTACAACTCATGGAAATAAAAAAAAAATCATGTCTAAAACTGTTAGAATATTAGAATAAAGGATGTAAAATACAGAAATGTCGACCTTCTGAAAAAATGTTACTTTATGTACTCAGTACTTGGTCGGGGCTCTTTTTGCATGAATTACCTCAACAGTGCTGCGTGGCATAGAGGCCTGTGAGAGCCTGTGGCACTGCTGAGGGGATATGGAAGCCCAGGTTGCTTTGATAGCGGCCTTCAGCTTGTCTGTATTGTTGGTGTCTCTCATGTTCCTCTTGACAATACTCCATAGATTCTCTATGGGGTTCAGGTCAGGGGAGTTGGTTGGTCAACTAAGCACAGTTATACCATGGTCAACAAACCAGTTAGGCTATTAGATTTTGCACTGTGGGCAGGTGCCAAGTCTTGCTGGAAAAGAAAATCAGCATCTCCATAAAAATTTGTCAGCCGATGTAGGCATGAAGTGCTCTAAAATTTCCAGACACTGCATGAACCAACGACAGCAGACTGGTTGTGTGTACTGAACCAGATTGAGAGATTAAAGGCTCTTGTCAATTCAACATTTCTGTGTTATTCATATTTTTGAGATATGGATTTTTGATTTCCACGAGCTGTAATCGCCAACATTAAAACAAAAAAAGAAGCCTGAAATATTTCACTTTACATGTAAGGAATCTAAAATATGTGAAAGTTTTACTTTTTGAATTCAATTATGGAAAAAAAAGAAGACTTTTTCACAATGTTGTAAGATTCTGAGATGCAAGAGTTTATATGAGCTCATAGGCTAATTTGTCATTTTGACCATGATTTTTTCATTCATTGTGCTGGTAATGAAAAGCATGTAAAATGAGGGAGTCAAAAACCATGTTTAATTTTCACATCCCATAATTTCTTTTGCATTTTTGTTGTAAAACAGCCAAAAGCTCTCTTATTAGAGGTGAGCTCTGGTGAGTTTTGCAGAGTATATGCAAAATATAAGCATTTTAGTGTCTCTACTTCAACTCAACTTTATCTTTATCTCCATCTGCACCATACATATTGAAATTCTCATTGCAACATGTCAATGTAAAGAAGAAATAGGACAATGTTCTTCACATTATCAAACTGCATTTATTAAACTTTTTATATGAGGAATGAGAATCCGGTTAATTGGCAAATTTAAGAAGTATGTGAACCCTTTCGGAATTACCTGGATTTCCGTATCAATTGGTCATAAAATTTGATTGGAGCTTGAATAATTTTCCTGCCACTGTATTGTTGCCAGCAAATAACTTTGATCAACGAGTAACAAGAATTTGAAGAAGATATGTTTAAGGTATTTTAGAAACAGTGTTTTTACATAGTTTATTTTCCACCAGAGAGCACTGACATCATTATTTTTATATATCTTGGTCGCTTGTTCATGACTTCAATTACATGTAGTCGCCATGAAGCGCTGTCTAGAGCTCAATTCGCGTTTTATTTTGGAAATCCTAACCGGAAGTCACATCATTTGCTCGGCCTACTTTGAACGACGTGCTTCGGCACTTTTGACAGTTAGCATTGTAGCTAGGTGTTGCTAGCTAGCTGAAAATCTCCCGATAAAATGTCCATAAAACAGTCTGCGCAAAGTTAAAACGACGGTGTGCCGAGAACTCATCACTGTCCAAGGATGTTTTCATCCGTCTGGAATTTTGTTAAACGCCACAAAAGGAAATTAATTTTCACCGGAGCTGTAGTTGGAGGTAACTAACGTTATTCACTGGTGTGCTTCTGAGCTAGCTAATAACTTTAGCAGCTCACCTGACTCCATTGAAAAAATCTGAAATATATCATATTTTCTCACTTACCGGTAGAATTTACGCTTTTGAAAATGTATAATAAGAGCTTTTAGGAATCAAGCAGTCTGTAACTTTACTTCGGCATATATATTATGCACCAAGCAGTATAACTTCCAACTTAACGATAACGTTAACTCTGCTCAGACAACTCACCAGGTGTGACGTTACTTTAACCAACATTATAAGGTTAATGGAAAAGAACTGTGGAAGACCAGCCGACACATTTGACTGAAAGTAACGCTGTATCGGGTGTCTGTTGCGTTAAAAATAATTTGTCTATTTACTTATATTTTATTGAGGATTTGTCAATAAGCAATTGCAAGAAAGTTGAATGAAGTTTGGCGTGACGTTCCAAACACGAGGGCAGCACATATGGCCTCTAATGTTAACACACGGTACTTAGTTATCGCAAAGCTCCTGTAATGTGATGATGTGAACATTAGAGTGCAGGTTGGCCAGGTGTTGTCTTATCAAGTGATAGTTAACCAAGCAATTAAATCGTAGCGTTGAAAGTCATTGATAGGTTGGATTTGTCTTGATTTTGGCACTAAGAGTTGTCATCATAAAATGCCTGAGGAAAGAAAGTTTGAATGGGTTTCAGGCTAAATAAAATAGAGAAACACACATCAGAAGAAGTGTGTTTTTACCATGACTTCTTTACATGAAAAGGATCACATTTAAGAATACAAATAAAAGACTATGTTCTGTTGGCAGCATCTATTCCAAAATATATCTTCAGCAAATTGCTGGTGAACCTACATGCAGTTCAGACTCATCTTGAAGTGTGATTGATGGCTAGGGGTTATTTTCTGTGCTTTGTATTGTAGTACTACTACTTATTATTTGTTGGCAATCCTCCCCTAGGACTATACTTCCTGGGTAAATATGCGCAGAAGAAGATTAGGGACATCCAGGAGAAGGAGGCGACGGAGTACATCGCTCAGGCCAGACGACAATTCCACTTTGAAAGCAACCTGAGGACCTGCAACATGACCGGTAATGACTTTACGCTTCTCCTTCTGTGTAATTGATTGAATGATTGAACATAAATTAAATGGTGGTAAAAAACAAATGAACAACAAAACAAAACATTTCCAGTACTTAAAACACCTGTTTAACCTCTATTTGTGAAAAGGAGTTGGAAGAAGTACAACATATGCACTTTAATTTAACTTTAATAGTGCTTTTAAAATCCTTTTGGTTGCTGGTAGGAAATGTTTACAGATTGCTCATTCTTGGTTTTTCACATTAAAACAGTTTTAGAGTACAAAAAGTCAAATCCAGTGTGTTTTTGTGTTGCAGTGCTGTCCATGCTCCCTCCACTGAAGGAAGCCATCATTAATCAACTGAATTCAGAAAGCCTCACTGCACTACTCAAGACCAAGTGAGTAGAAATGCCTTTTGCTGTCAGATTCAATAGATCAGATGATTTCTAATCCACTTGCACACAATTTTACGCATTAAGTTCAAAGCTAGCAAAGATTTTCTTCCTTCTATCATAATTTTACCCAAATATTCGTATATATTAGGTGTTTTTCAAAACCCATCTTGAAATAGAAAGTTTGCTGTGAAGTGCAATGTGAGTCGCAAAACGGTAACAATGCTTATTCTTCTCTCTCATCATCTCACAGACCAGCCAACAAGCTGGAAATCTGGGATGACTTAAAAATCATCAGTAAGTTTTGTTCTTCACATCAGACATCGCTAAACAGTCACACACTGTAGTGTCACTAATCTTTAAACAATCCCTTAAAATACTCACAAATACAGAAGAACTGCCGACTTAAATTGTTGAGTTTTTTTACTTGAGATTCTAGAGCCAACATTCGATCACAAACGTGTGAAACCTGTTGTCTTGTTCAGGTTTCACTCGCACCATCGTGGCGGTGTACAGCACCTGCATGCTGGTGGTTCTGCTGAGAGTCCAGCTGAACATCATAGGAGGATACCTGTACCTGGACAACTCTATAGGCAAGAACACGACGGTGAGGAACACAGCATGTGTACGCCTCTTTTATCGAGCCTGTAAGATCACAGTAGTCGCTGTAATGCAGTGATGTTAGTTTCTGCTGTTCACGTTGTGTTTAAGGTTGTGGAGAAGTAGCTCTGTGTTTCTCAGATATTTAGTGCTATGACTTCCTTATCTTGTCCATATTATTCAGTTTGAGACAAATATTTGAGGTCTCAGCTCAGCCTGCAGCTAACGGTTATTTTTCATTTTCAACTAGTCTGCTGATTTTTGTCTATAAATGTCAAAATATTGAGACATGTCTGTCAGATGTTTCAGGTGCTAGCTGACATCATTAAATGTCTTGTTTTGTCTGACTTATAACCCAAAACCCAAAGATGTTTAGTTTACGATGATATGACAATCCTCACATGAGAAGCTGGAACCAGCGAATGCTTAATATACGACTTTAATCAGCTCAACTAAATTAATAATTTACTAATCAATCAACCAACCCACCATCCATTGCAGCTCTAGTCTAAGCAGTAATTTTTGTCCTGCAGATTTATCCTAGTAGTCTCATGATAAAATCAACAGTTATCCAGGGTGTCTTATGATTGGTTCCTTCCCTCCATATAAAAACCTTGCAACATACAACCTTTGCTTGGTAGAAATGAGTAAGTGTAAACCAATGAAATATCAGGTAAGTGAGGAAAAGCTGTTTGATTTGAAAGGAGGGTTTGAAGATTGAATTTTATGTTTACGCCTGCATAACTTTACCACCTGAAATAATTGGTTTAAACCTTAAACCTCTTAAACCTTAAGCTTTCGTCTCCCCCTTCTGACAGTGACAGTAATTACACAACACTTTCAACATGAGCTTATGACGTATAGGCTCTGCCATACTGAGCTGCATCACTGCAGGGTCACCAGCGTGGGAATGTTGCCACAGACAAGATTTAAAACCTCTGGTATACTGTGAATACAGAGAGATTTACCTGGCAGTGATCGGCTCAATCAGCATTGTGTGAACTTGTTTGGCGAGGGCTTGAATGTAACTGATGTTTATTTATTATTATAAATGTAAAACTCCTGCACTGTAGTTTTAAAGTTTTAGTGTTGCAAAGGAAGGTTTGCAGGGGGTTTCAGTGGGGTTTGAAAGGCTCAAAATGTTCGAAGCTTTTGTTTAGAGCTGAAGTTATATCAGAAATTTCTATGATATTTTAGATTTATTTGTGCATGTATTTGTGGATTTTCTTTCAGACTCCCCTGGCTCCCCCAGACGTCCAGCAGCAGTACCTGTCTAGTATTCAACATCTACTGGGAGATGGTAGGATGGTGACTCACACACAGATCTGATAAGAGCACAATGCTGTTTAACCCTCTTCATCCTTGTTTACCTCGCTACACCAGTCAGTTTCTTACACCTGCACTTCTGACCCCTGTCTGTCTGCAGGTTTGACAGAGTTGATGACAGTAGTGAAGAAAGCTGTGCAGAACTCTCTGGGAGGGTGAGTGCCTGTAATTAATGATTATTTTTATTTGCAGTAATATTTTTTTGGTTAGTCTTTTAATCGTTGAAACTATAAAATGTCAGAAAATAGAGAAAGACAAGTTGCCAGAACCACAGGAGACATTTTCAAATCACAACCAACAGTCCAAAACAACCAACATGTTCAATTTACAGTGATGTAAAACAGAGAAAAACAGCAAAGCCTCACATTTTGGAGGCTTTTGGATGTTTTGCTTAATAAGCGACATAACATGTTCAATCAACGATCTAAATAGCTGTTGATTCACTTTCTGTTGGTTTCCAGCATGTCTCTGAAGCAGAGCCTGTCTATGCTGGAGTTGGAGCAGCAGTTGAGCTGGATCAGGGCGGAGGTGGAGGCCGGCTCTGAGCGGCCGCTGTCCTGGTACATGCTGGCTGACGACGAGAACGCGCTCGCTGACCAGGTCGCCACACAGAGAATGATGCACGGCAATGTTCACAGATAAAACATCTGGGTATTTAACAAACACTCTCTTCTCTTCTGTCCAGGCGTGTGGGTTGACAGAAAACGACGCTGTGACCATCAGACTGTTAAACGAGACTAGAGACATGTTGGAAAGGTAAACACCATAGAGTATTTGTTCGTCATCTGTTTGTACACTTGTGTGTTTTGTGATTCTGACGTGTGTTCGTTGTGATACCAGTCCAGACTTCACTACCGTCTTGAACACCTGTCTGAACCGGGGTTTCTCTCGTCTTCTTGACAACCTGGCCGAGTTCTTCCGCCCACCTCCCGGTGACTCCGCCCCCAGCTCTGCACCTGATAGGTCAGCTGTTTGACTGACACAATAGATACAGCGAAAAATAGATGCAGCTTCAGTTGTTTGTTCAAAACTACTTCATCACCAATTATGTGTGATATTAAGTAACAAAACAAATCATTTACCTGCCAAACCTCTCACCAGCTTTTCAGATTCATGCCAGAAACCTTTATTGTCCAGTTTGTTTTGGTCACTGCTGCAGAATGTTTATTGTTGTTGAAGTCCAGGCACAGAGCTCGACATTGACCTCTGCATAACTCTTTTGCGTCTGTGTGTCCAGTCTGTCCGCAGTCAGTCTGCCGCTGGCGAAGATCATCCCCATCATCAACGGTCAGATCAACACCATCTGCAGCGAGACTCCCAGCCACTATGTTCAGGTGAAGCCAGGTTTCAGTCAGACACACAAACATCTTAGTGGAGAAACAGAGAAACCTTCAGCAGAAATGGGACGCTGTCGTTCACCTGTTAATATTTCCGTTTGTGTTCTAGCATTAAAAGATGGTGAAATACTCAACCAACCAAATTTTAAAGCCAAGTAGACTTGTTGTTAATGGTCCACAGCCAGCCAGTTGGCACAAAGCAGCAGTTTTGGTGTGTTTGTTTTGTGATAATCAAACAGATGATCAGCAGCTGCAGCTCTCTGATCAGATAAGAGTAAATATGTTATTAATGTGCACTTAACTCAACTAAAAGAGAGGACAAAAGATCTGTTACAAAACATTAACCTCCTTTAAATGTGGTTTTGAGTTGTTTATTAACAACCTTTTTTATTAACAACCTAGTAACAATCTACCTTTTTGGTAGTAGTACCAGCGAGTATCAGAAACTGCACCAAAATAAAATATCAAAACCTGGCATCTAATGTCTGGTCAGATCATAATCTTCTTTACGTATTCTTTTAACAGTCAGTATTTAAATAATATTTGCATTTACATTTTAGACATTATTTTATTCAGGCAAAGTTACTGCTACCTGTGTTCCGATATTATTTCTTCTTTAGTTGAATTATAGGAGTGGTTTTATAGGAAATGTTTAAATATTTTGCTCATTCTGGTATCAAAACTTTAAAGTTATTGTATCAGCAATACCCAGCACTACTGACTCCTTAAATATTATGTTATTGATTATATATATCCTGTATTTTTGAGCACTTTAGACAGAAGGCAGAATGTGACATTGTTACAACTGCAGTATGATACATTAGTTTATTATCCCCAAAAATACTGATGGGTGATTCTTTATCAGGCAATATATCAGATACACATCAAGACACATTAAGCAGAATAAATATGATCAGTCTTTTCTTGTCTGTGTATTACTTCTCTGTCAGTATCTCAAACTTTCTGTCGGTCTCTCTCTCAGGACTTGCTGATGAACGACCAGGTAAAGGAGTTTGCGGCCAACGTTTATGAGACGTTCAGCACGCCGCAGGAGCTGCAGAAATAATCAGCCAAGCATGATGAGAAGAGGGAGAATTCAAGAGGAAGAAAAGAGGGATGGAAACAAAAATTATATAATTCCTGGACTGTTAATCCCTCCTTTCTTTTCATGAGACACTTTTCTCCCCCCGAATCCTGCAGACTTTTCACTCTGAAATGTCCGCAACGGGAGCATCTGTGTCTCGTCTGTGAACGGCGCCATTTTGGATTATTGAAGTGGTGGAAGAAGAAAAGGCTTGTGGTCGGTTTGTAGTCACAGCAGAATCTGTATTTAACACCAGGGGCCGCTGCACCTTGGGAATTGCAGCCATATTTAACCTGATAATGCGGTGTTATTTACCATAAGGTGGGAAAACACACTGACACTGTCAAAGTGTGGTGAAGGATCGGTCACTACTGTTCAGAGCTGCTCTCCACTTTTTCAAACAAGAGGATACTGAAATATATTCAGTTTATTATGTTGCAGATTTTAGGATGATTTTCCACTTTCCATCAGCAGTGGTGTTTTATGTCTGGTCACGTTTCGAGCTGTTCGGTCTGCACATCGGCAGGTTTTAGACATCAGAAGAGTTTACAAAGAGTAAAGTTTTTTTTTTTTTCACAACTTAATCGAGGTGGTAGAGATGTGTGCGGGCTGAGGAATACACGGTGGGGATTTGTTTTCTGTTTTTGCTAATATTCAGTGATTTTATATTTGACCATTTTTGTATTTTCTTGTCTTGATGGTAGAAAAAATGTGCAGCAATTTGTGGGATAACTTCAAACAAAATGTTGTATTAGCAAAACCGATGTCACTGATTCATTTGAAATTAAATATGTAGTCTTAACAGCAACTTATCAGAGGTGGAGGACCTTTTTAAGTGGTCAAAATCTTATTTAATAAAACACCAATATTAACAAATTTGCATCAGTCCAACTGCAGTTTTGTAGTTGCTCTTTTTCCACTCAAAAACAAGCCCTTCACTTCTTCTGGGGCAGAGTGGAAATGTCACCCATAAATTGCATACAGACTTAAATGTTCTGAAAACAAGGAGCTCTGTTCTGATATCAGTCTATTAATCTCTGTTTTGGAGCATTTAATCCAGGTGTCTAACCTGGAGAACCTATTTTCACAGTGTAATTCCTTTTTTCCCCCAGAAGGTGTCACTCTTCTTCAGCTGGTGGAAGTATCCCTCTGCGTTGTGATCCTTTTATCTTTCTTTATATGAAGAACTTTACTAAAAAGTAGAAACACAACACTATTCCAGCCATGATCTGTGGGTCAGTAACGTTAAATGACTTGCTCACGGACATTCAGCTTACTTTCTAGTTTGCCAAGACATGCTGTTGTTGGGATGTCAGCTCTAGTAGCAGGAGAGGTTTGTGTGTCTGGAACTGGTTTGCTGGTTCTGGGTCCGTCTGGTCCTCTCTGCAACTGTAGCGACAGATTGCTAACCCACAACTTGGCTAAAGTTAGTTAACATTACTTTCTGTGTAGTTCGCTCTATATCATGGTATTAGTCATGGATCCTAAAATGACTAATAACATCTAAAGTTTTATTTAACTGTCTGTGATCAGTATTTGAGAGCCAAACAGCATTGTCATTATTTTTCTCATTGATGGCGGATGATGCGTAGAGAAGTGTTTGACCCATTTCTGTTTGTTTAACGTGTGTTTTCTCATTTAATTTGTACATAATGTGACTTCTTGAAAAGCTGAAATGGTTTTTAGCGCCTTCTGTGTGTAAAAAACAAAAAAACAAAACAGCACTGTTATCCAAAGCCAAGATGTGATGAGCTTTGTAAATCAGGTGTGGTCAATCGAGAGCTGAGCTTAACACACCTGATTCAACTAATCAGTTATTGGTAGAGCAGAGATGAGAATATGAAGCACTTGTATTCCCTAGGAGTCAGTGAAATGAGCTGAATGCAGTTTTTATTATATTAAAATAAAATAATATTAATAAAAAATAAATGTTTTATAATATTTATTATATCACAAGTCAGAGTTTCATCCAAGCAAACTGATTTGTCAGTGATGGGTTTTACTTGTGAATTCTTTACCTTCATTTACTCTAAATCATGTCAACTGTTTACTGTGATTACATCATCCAGGTATCTGTAATCACAGTAGTACCCCCTCAGAGCATTACTTTACTACTCTGACAAATACTACTCAAGCTTTGATTTGTCCCACCTCAGTGCCACACGGGCGGGGTTGGCTAAGTGTAATGGAAAGTGGACATTTTGTCTCCAACTGACAGTTCATTCATCCACCCATCAGGAACTCCATAACACAATTATAAGAATTAAAAGTTGCATTCAGCCCATGTCAAATGATAAAATAATGAAGTAAAGCCAAGTTTGTATATCATGATTGATGTCAGGAAACTGGAAAATGGTTGTACAGCTTGGTGGCATGTGGGATTCACCAGAAACCAGCTTGTGGAGAGAATGAAGTCCACCTCCTGAAGTCATGTCTGTAGCTGATTGTTTTGTCAGAGTTTCCTTGTCAGGAGATGAGAAAACATCAGGTGACAGTTCAAGTTTGTTCCTGGTCCCTGGATTACATAATAAAAACATGTCATGTGACTCTGTAAATCTCTGTATGTGATCAACGATGTCATGCCTTTTGAAACACAATATCCTGAATGACAGCTGAAATGTTGGTAGGAGGTGAAATAAAAGTAAAATGTGATTTCATATACATTTGTCATTTTGTGATTCCTTAATCTGTGTTTGAAGTTTTAAATGGCCAAACTACAAATTATTTTCTGTTAAATAGGTGACCCTTTCACATATTTAACAAAAATAGTAGTAGTTTGGGCTTTTTACTTCGACGCTTCAAGCCAATTATCCAACAGTTAACAGGAAGTTAGTGCATCAACAGGGGGCGCCCTGCTGCAACAGGAAACTGTTTCATCAAAACATAAAATAGGCTGCAGTTCATTGGAAAATACTGGTCTTGGAAAATAATCCACGGTGCTGTAAAAGCTCTGAGTTACAACATGTGAGAGGATGATGCTATCTCTTAATTACTGATTAATGAATTAGGAAAGAAAATCTATTTTTAAAATGGAAATATGACCTTTCCATAATCAAAGTTGAGCTGGGTGTGGAATTCAAAAGACAGTTGTTTGTTTCCATTGAAGTTTTTATGGAGAAGATGACGAGATTAACTTCTTCATCTTTTCAGCTGTACTATAAAATTAACTCAGTCCTTTTAATGCATTGCATCATGTAACAGACCTCCTAAAAGAGAAAGACACCATGTTTGGTGAAACTTACCCATAAAGTGATGAAACCGATTTGGCTCTGTTTTACAGTAGAAACCTGGTCATTATTTAGCCTGGTGGTGTGATACATTGTGACAAAGTCAAGGGATTTTTTATACAGCTGTTGTCAGAGTTAAAGATTTGTGGCGGTTATTGACAATGGAAATAAGTTGGACAAGTTCATTGTAATTCATGAACTAGGTTTCTATTTAATAGAGCCCAGTGTTCCAGATATGTTTTTTATATTTAAGCTCTTTTTCTCTGAGGCATACTGACTTCAGAATGACACTGCCGGTTAAACGGAATAACGAGACATGACATTGTCTTAAGATTTAATACTCCCCCCCCCCGTCAAGGTCTTTCTGGAGCTCTTTCACCACCACTCACAATTTATAATTTCCACTTGTGAGTAGCTCCCCCATTTTCTTTGTGCTTTGCATTGTAGGATAACAGTGCCCATCAACTTAACTTATATTATACGTAAGTTAATATACTTAACCTTTCCAGGCTGAGCACACCACATATTCACAGCCTGCTTAGTAGTTGTGCAGTATGGAAAGCTTAATGCTAACATGCTGAACTAAGCAGGTTTCTTTATCATGTTCACTGTTTTAGTTTAGCGTATTAGGATGCTAATATTAGCTAATTAGCTCTAAGAACAAATTATAGCTGAAGCTGATGGGAATGTCATTAGTTTTGCAGATGTTGGATAAGTTTTGACCTGATGGTAGCACCGGTGAAAAGTCACCAAAGTGATTACAGTTCATCCTGAGGGAAACATGAATGTCTGCACAAAATGTCATGGACATCCATCCTATATTTGTTGAGACATTTCACTCAAAACCACAAATTTCAACATCACAGTGGCGCAAGAGGGACAGTCAGGGGACGGTCAGAGGAAGAGATGGTAATCCGTCAAACAGTGGCTGAGATATTTCAAATATTTCAGTCTGGATCCACCGACACACTGACAACATTGCAATCCCCAGAGCAACAAGCGCTGGCATGGCTAAATAAGAACTGAATTCACATCCCTCAAAAACAAAGAGGAAAAGACAGTGAAAGAGAATTGATTAGTTAGATTTAAGTTATATAATGAACCTGTTTTCCAGCGGCTTTGAAGTTAAACATCCAAGTCGAGACTCTTGACTCAGGTATCTTGAAACTTGTCCCAGTTGTTTGACACCTTATCAGCCTTTCGAGGGGAACTTCCTGTTGGTAGTATTTGACTTGACTAGTTTCGTGCCCTGATAGACTGCTTCCTCTGGGGAGGAGGAAGATTTTCTGTCTGTGCCATTAACTGCCTGATGAAATTGAATCAATCAATCAATTTATTGTTAAAATGACAGATTCTTCTGTCTGTAATTAAAACTATAACAAATATTTATTTTATAAGTATGTACTGTCACTCGAGGCATTTTCACAATAAATCTCTTAATATTTTTAGAGTCAAAATTAATTCTGCTCTTTAATTAATTGATGTGATGTTCATTCATGTTTTTGTTTTATTTGTCTTTGAGACACACACACACACAAAAAATCCCACAGATGTCCTCTTTGACCTTGAATTAAAAGGAATTATTGTGGTTGATAAATTGATCTCAGTGCAGCTTTGAGGAAGCCGTTGGCAAAGATTCTCATCAGGACAAAAGTGCAAGAAACGCAAACACTGGAATAAGCTGGCAGACAAAACATTGCTAAAAGCAAGTGGGAAGTACAAAGGTCAACACAGCAGCTGAGAGGAGAGGGGATTCGTCAAAGCACCAATCAATCATCAACTTTATTGATTTGTCATATTTCAGACAAATCCTTTTCTCAGGTTTGAACTAAAAATCTATTTTTATTTAACTGTAATTTTAGACATGTAGGTAGGGTGTGTGTAACTGGACACTAATGACATTCATTTTCTTCCTGGTTGAGTGTGACTCAAAAGATGACTTCATCCTTTCTACCGACCCTCTCTGACATCACCTTATAAGGAAGAGAGACAGTGTTTTTTTCTTTCTTTCTGAGTGGATGGTTAAATGGTCAAAAGAATGACATATTACATTACACTCAGAGGTAAGAGGTATATTTTTGACTTTCTTACAATCTGTCCATGTTTAAAGTTTGCATTATTTGCATGTATTAGGTTTACTCATTAGGAATCTGTAGATGTCCTTCTTGCATCAGTGATCTGACCTGCTGAAGGATCGAGAAACTGGTGGCTTCTGATGTGACGAAAGTTTCCTGTGACAAATATCTTTTTCTGGCGGCACTTAACTTTAATACAATAAAACACAGGACTCATAGGAGTCAAACTTTCCATTCAAAAGACAGAAAGAGACACTTAACACTGAAAACTGAACACTTAACTTAACACATAACTTTAATAATAGCTTATTTACATAGTGATACGCTGCACTTTTCATAAACAAGTTACAAAGTGCTTCCCACATAGGCAACAAATGAAACTTCATAGGTAAAAGAAAAAAATCAAACAGAACCAGATTAAAGCTAAAACAAGGCAAAATTAATGCCAGTATATAAAAAGATAAAAAGACAATTCAAGTAAATTTAAGCAAAATACATGAGTAAATTCACAATAAGCTCTCTGATTAAAGTTTGTGGACCCTGACTCTGAAGGCTCTGTCCTCTGTAGATTTTAACTCTCCACCATGGTCTTGGCTCTCGACCTTAAAACAGGAAAAAAAACCTCTGCCAGAGGATCTCAATCCATGTTCAGTCTCCTACGGATAAATAAAATATAGCTATAAGTCAATATAAGTCAAACAACATTAAAATTTGTCGCACTTTGCCATGAAATAGATTTGATTTTTCATATCAGCCCTTAGAGTTTAATTTTTAACCAAGATTTGCATACGAAACATAATAAAATCGTGAAAAAGTTAAACAAGCACAAAGTTCCTGCTGCTGAGGTCAGCTTTTTATTATGTTCAGACCTTTGAGACTCATGCATTCACACATTTATTATCTTAAATTTCACTAAAACCAAGTCTGAACCTTCTAAATATTAAAAGTTAACCTTTTTTTGTCCCTAAACAGGAGTAAAGTCCCCACAATGTCACAGTTTGTGAGGACCCCTGTTGAAATGATTAATTCCCCAGCCTCAACCTAAAAGCTTAACCCTTAAACCCGTGTCCTAGCCCTCAAACAACACCTTTGAAAACAAATTGTCCTCACTTTCCAGAAAAGTCCTCATTGTCACGGTCCACACTAAGAGCACAGTACAAGAGCACGCATAGACACTTTGTCTGGCAGATGGTTAACAAACAGCCACATGATACCAGTGTGGTCTGAAACACTGAGTGTGTGTGATCTGTTGACCTCCAGTCGGTTTCCTCAGAGTTTCAACACAGTGCTGCCAGTCAGCTGCAGCCTCATGACCTCATGATCCGTTCTGCTCAACAGATGATGAAACCGACGTCACTCCTCTGCTGATTGTCTGATGCTTGGGTATGAAACGTGTCATCTGGCTCGTCGTGCTGACGAAATAATTTTTGCCTCTCAAAATAGAGCCGAAGCCCCACATAAACATGCTGAATCATGCAGAGTTACAGAATGGAGGCTTTGATCCATAAAACGGGCCTTTATTTGCTGAGGAACTGGGTGCGGACAGGCTGTTTTCCATCAAGGCTCTGCTGGACAGTCACGTTCAACACTGCAAAAACAGGTTCAGCTCAAATTAGCCTGCACCAGATGACTGTGTGTCACAGTTTGAACTTTTGTTGTGGTGTTGTTTGTTCTTGCCCCATAGTGAGTTATCGTCTTTGCCCGGTTTGTGGCACAGAGCTGGAAATCCCCCTGTTGCCGAGCTAAACGTCTGAGCCACTTATGTTTCTAAACGCACGTAGGAACTATCGTTGACCCATGTTTGCATAAGTGGAAACATATAATGGACAGGAGCCAGGTACTTCCTATCTGTCAGAGAGTTTGGAAAAACAAGTTGTTCTACAGAGTTTCATTGAAATGTTGGTAAAATCCCGGAAAAGAAAAACAGTTAGTTAATCATTAAATTGTGAATCATCTTTATAAGCTACTCTGGTCTTCAGGAAACAGTGAAAATAGTGTGTTTTTCTCTGCACATACTCATTGCTTGGTAAAATAAGTCTAAACAGCAAAGCAGATTCTGACAAATGCTTTGCCAAAATAGAGGCTAATGTGTTATTTGTATTTGTGGTGGCGGCCGCACTCTCAGTCCATAAAATAGCTGCCGTAGCCGGGGTTTAGAGAGAAGTGGAGGTCACGTGTCCAACTTTAACCTCCTAAGAAATCTTCTCCGAAGAGTTTTATTACTAAGTAAAGATCTTAGGTAAAGGTTTTATGTTTTGCTCTCCCATTTTCTTAATCTTTTCCTCTTCTGTTCTTCTTCTTCAGGCAGTTTCAAAGTAAACCCGCCCTCACCAGAAAAACTGGCGTATTGGTTGTCTGCGCAAGCATCTTATCAGTGATGGGCAGTAACACGTTACTTAGTAACAAGTTAATGTAATATTATAACTTTTCCCTGTAACTAGTAGTGTAACGGATTACTATTTCCAAAACAGGAATATTATTACAGTTGCTAATCTAAGTAACACTGTTACTTCAAGTCGTTCAAGTCAGCTGTTAGCCAAGAAGCTAAAGGAAGAATGGAGAGGGAGAAAGACAAGCGTTCTTTGCACAGCTGTAGGTATTGCCATTATTGTGTCACATGCAAAGAACATTGTAGTCCGTTATAAACTTGTATGTAGCTTTTTGCTCTTGCGACTAGCAAAAAGCTTTCAACCGCGAATGTAATGCAGTAACGGTTTCTCTGCATGTATAAAACCTCTAAACCTATAAAGCCCATCGGGTCGCCCACTTGGGCTACTTCTGAGCTACTTACAAATATAAATATTTTATTAAAATGGACATGCTGCACATTGTAAGATTAGTTAGATTCTCCACAATTCAATTGTTCAGTTATTTTACATAAACAATGAGCACCAAAGTATAATTCCTTCCGATTTATTGATGATATGGCAAACAAGAAGAAGAACATGAAAAAAGCTGTGACTCAGTACCTTTGGAGTGACCATTAAGTTCGAATATGTGTCCATTCCTTGATCATTTAAATTCCTTTAGTCTGTAAGGGTCCACCGATCAAAAGAATCAAAACAGTTTTTCATAAAAATGTATCCATGTTAACTACAGTAACCTTTCGCTTTCATCCTCTCTCTCTGTCTCTTAAGGTTAGCCTAGATCAACTTAATGATTCGTAAGTGACGTGTTATCCGATCATTTCTATACAAGTAATATTCATACAGTACTGGTTGAAATAAACAATCTGGTAATAGGCTATTTTCCATCTTTGCTGAGCAAGATTTTTGTGCAAGTGAAGTAAATAAAAGCCTGGGCTATTAATTAATATAGGTTTTATGGTATGCCATTTTGGGAGTTATTGGCAGTTGGCCTATTTCTGATCTCTGTTTACTCTGACAATGGCAAACAATGAAGCAGAACCTCCATGTAAATAATACTGCACAAATGAAATAAAACTTGAATCAGATACAGAAGACATACTGGGTTTGGAAGTGTGTCAAGTGAGGTATTTACTATTGATAGATTTTATGTAATTATATAAACAAGAGGTTGCTGTAGATATGATCTGGTTACATATACTGTACTTCACACACTCATGCTAAATCTATCTTGATTTAATGTCATTTAATTATTATTTTTTTTACAATGTATTTACCTTGTTCTGTTTTATTACCTAAAAAAAGTCACATTTAGAGATATTGAGTCTAAAACATATGAGAACCAGCCTTAACAAAACTACCATGTGCAGTTTGTGTGCATTTTTAGGTGTGGTAAGATGTCAAACCCCCCGAAACTGACAATAACAAATTCATGAGTTAGGTGTCCTCAAGGGTAGATGTGGCACCAAGACCCTTGATCATACTGTTTTTTGTGGACAGAGTGTCATTACAGTACCTCTGGATCCATAATGCTCTCATTCACTGAGTTTGTGAAGTCTCAGCTCAAGCTTAGAGAAATCTCACATTTAAAAGGTAATATAAAACAGATTTTATTTGTCTTGTTTCATTTTCACAAAGCATAGAAGTTACTCAGAAATGTGATCAACAATATTTTGAATTACAGTAAATCCTGGCCAGGATATGATTCAAACCAAGAGTCTTCCAAAATTCAATGTCACAGAAAATGACCCATAATTATTGTCCCATCAGTGTTTACATTACCGCTGAAATGCCCCCACCCCCTCACATATTCAGCAGCTTAGTGATGCAGGAAGTTACTCAAAGTGGGTGAAAAAAAGCTACAAAGACCTACAAAGCATGGGGGGAAAAAAATGTTTTTAATATGGTATTGAAGGATTCAGCTTTTTGCTGGGAGTGGTGGATTTTGGTCTGAAACTTGTTTAGGAGAAATGAGCATTCTCATCTCGACAAATTTGAGTTTCAGTTGCAATTAAACTACAGTAAATAAATGTGTAGACCTGAGATTTACAACATACACTGCTCAAAAAAATAAAGGGAACACTTTATTAGGAGGACGTAGGAGGGCAACAACCCAGCAGCAGGATCGCTACCTCCGCCTTTGTGCAAGGAGGAGCAGGAGGAGCACTGCCAGAGCCCTGCAAAATGACCTCCAGCAGGCCACAAATGTGCATGTGTCTGCTCAAACGGTCAGAAGAAGGGCCCGACGTCCAAAGGTGGGGGTTGTACTTACAGCCCAACACCGTGCAGGACGTTTGGCATTTGCCAGAGAACACCAAGATTGGCAAATTCACCACTGGCGCCCTGTGCTCTTCACAGATGAAAGCAGGTTCACACTGAGCACATGTGACAGATGTGACAGAGTCTGGAGACGCCGTGGAGAACGTTCTGCTGCCTGCAACATCCTCCAGCATGACCGGTTTGGCGGTGGGTCAGTAATGGTGTGGGGTGGCATTTCTTTGGGGTGCTGCACAGCCCTCCATGTGCTTGCCAGAGGTAGCCTGACTGCCATTAGGTACCGAGATGAGAGGTGAGACCATATGCTGGTGCGGTTGGCCCTGGGTTCCTCCTCATGCAAGACAATGCTAGACCTCATGTGGCTGGAGTGTGTCAGCAGTTCCTGCAAGAGGAAGGCATGGATGCTATGGACTGGTCCGTTCCCCAGACCAGAATCCAATTGAGCAGTGTACTTTATAACCAATCACAGAACACTAACATGCTTACACAAGACGTGTGTCCCTGAAGCAAACACAGCAGGTATCTTGTGTAAGGACACAAGCGAGAGGTGGGCCCTTCGTGTAGAACTCAACATGTGTCATTCATGGTGTTTCATTTATTTCCTGCAGCTGTCAGTGTAGAAATGGATCTCTTGGGCTGCCATGTGCCCCAGGGGTTGAAAGTCCTGTTCAGACACATTAGTGTTGCGTCATGACCCCCCACCACAGGAGTTCTGCAGAAAACGTAGGATTATGTGGCAAAAAAAGTTGAACCTGGTTTCTCCTTGAAGTGTCTGTTCATCTTCCAACAAAGTCATCCAAATGAAACAACAATACAACCCCTTTTTGGGTCCCCTGTTTTAAGGAGGGGAGTGACGCCCTATGGGTTCATAAGTGGATGTGGACTTTCTCTCACTCTCTCCATTTCTCTCTCTCATATAGGAAGAGCTGATTGCAGTAACTCTGGGCACCTGGGCTAATTACCCTGTTGAGTATTTGGGACTGTTTTCTCATTCTGCAAAGAGGCTGTTGTCTAGGCCAGGTCATACCTCCATGCGGGCCGGCTCCCTGGTTTCAAGTGTTTTAAGGTAGCATTATAGGGTAGGGTAAGTATCACTCCAACCAGGACAGCCAAACAAAACTTTAATCGCTCCCTGTGGAACTTGCTGAGTGACACAGTGACTCAAGTCATGTGATCTCTGAGCTGGCATCAAGTTTTTACGTAACCACTGTGGTATGTGGGCTGCAGTACCCTCATTAGTCAGAGTTTGAAATTGTCCCCTCAATGGAACATTTCCTATACAGAGATAAGGATCTGTGATGATCCTGTCAGGTGTGGGTCGTTCCAAAACTTTCCACAATCACATGGTGGCTCAGCAGGTTTAGTTTATTGAAGTTTAGTTTCAGGTTCATTTCAGGTTTCTTTGATTTCATGAGCCGTGATGAGTGTTTCATGTACAATCAAATTCAATTTTACCTCAAGGGATCATGGGAATATCTCAGGTTATTTACAGTTCTTATGATAAAACCTACTTTTAATAAAGATACTTCTCTCCATACCTAAGTACTACCTCTACTACTGCACTAATTTCTGTTACATTTTACTACTGACAAATTTACACCTGATACTCTTACTACTAATATTTGTATTTCTTTTTATTTTACTACTGCTTGTACTATTGCTTTCACTATTAGTACAACTACTGCTACCACTGCTGTTACACTAATTTATAATAATAATAATACATTTTATTTAAGGCGCCTTTCTCGGCACTCAAGGACACCGTACAGGGATGCAAAGACATTTAAAAGCAGCAAAACTAAGAGCATTAAAATAAGCTAAAAGCAAATAATTTACATCAAATGAGGTAGGCAGTTTTAAACAGATGTGTTTTGAGTTGCGATTTAAAATGGGAGAATGAATCGATGTTTCTAAGTAGGGGTGGTAAAGAATTCCAGAGACGGGGGGCAGAGCGGCTGAATGCTCTGCTTCCCATTGTGGTGAGACGAGCAGGGGGGACAGACAGGTGTATGGAGGAAGAGGATCTAAGGGAGCGGGTGGAAGTTGGACCGTGCAGGAGATCAGACAAATACGGAGGGGCAAGGTTGTGGATGGCCTTGAATGTTAACAGAAGGACTTTGAATTGAATACGGGACAGGACCGGGAGCCAGTGAAGCTGTTGGAGAACAGGAGTGATGTGGTGGATGGAGGGTGTTCTAGTTATGATGCGGGCAACTGAATTCTGGACCAGATGAAGTTTATGAAGGTATTTGTGAGGGAGGCCGAAAAGGAGAGACTTGCAGTAGTCCAAACGGGAAGTGACAAGACTGTGAACAAGAATGGCGGCAGTGTGGGGGGTAAGGGAGGGGCGCGGGCGATTGATGTTTCGTAGATGGAAGTAGGCAGACCGGGTAATGTTATTGATGTGGGACTGAAAAGATAAAGTGCTGTCAAGGATGGGGGGAGGACGATGGTTTGGTTGGTCGAGAGGTAGAGCTGGGTGTCATCAGCATAACAGAGGAATTGAATATTAAATTTGCGGAAGATATTGCCCAGGGGAAGGAGATAAATGATGAAAAGGTGGCCCCAGGACAGAGCCCTGGGGCACACCTGAAGTGACGGGGGAGGGACAGGATTTAAAAGACTTAAGATGTGAACCAGTCTAACGGAGTGTGAGTGATGCCTAGAAGATAACCTGTTGAAGAGAACAGAGTGACAGATGGTATCAAAGGCAGCACTCAGGTCGAGGAGGATGAGAATGGTAAGTAGTCCAGAATCAGCTGCCACAAGGAGGTCATTGGTGATTTTGATAAGTGCTGTTTCAGTGCTATGAAGTGGACAGAAGCCAGACTGGAACTGTTCATACAGGTTATTGTGGGATAGATGAAGATGGAGTTGAGATGCAACTGTTTTTTCAAGAATTTTGGGTGATATTGTTAAGTAGGGAGAACAGTGGCTTGGAGTTTCCTTTTTTTTCAGTAATTAAACTGGAGTAGTAGTGGGTTTTGGTGTTAGCAACAGAGTCCTTATAACATAAGATGTGGTTATTGTACATTTCTTTGTGAATAGTGAGACCAGTTTTCCTGTACAGACGTTCAAGTGGCCGACCTTTGGCTTTCATCAGACGAAGATCGAGGGTGAACCAAGGGGCGGAGACGGAAAAGGAAACAGATGTGTTTTTTAACGGAGCAAGGGAATTAAGAATGTTATGGAGTCCAGTGTTGTAGTGAGAAACCAGAGCATCAGGGGTGGATAGATTGTGAGTGTCAGGAAAACAGAAGGAGTGGATACTTGAAGTGAGAGTGGCAAGATTAATGTTCTTCATATTCCGAAATGAAATAAGGCGTGATATTAATTTCTACGATTACTGCTACTATAACACCAAAAACAACAGCTTCTACTTATACAGTACTCCTTTTTAACCCTTACTGTTTGTGCTGAAACTACTACTGCTGCTCTGTTACTCTACAGCTACATTAAGTACTTTCACAACAACTGCTGTTAAGGGACTACAACATGCAGTACACTAAACACTACTGCTGCAATGGCTACGAGTATCGCCACCAATACTTGTTCTTCTGATACTATGACAATTAATAGATAAATCACTGTTACTACCATACTAATTTTAATAAAGCAAATAAAAGAAACTATCACTATAGTTATCACTGCTTTTGGTTTTACTACCAAACTTATAAAACAGGTACTATAATATCTACTGTTACTACTGCTACTTGTATGACAAATACTTTTACTACTTTATCAATGCTTTTACCATTCCTACTACCACTACTACTGCTACTATCCACTTAACAGGACTTCTAGTACTATTATTATTGGAAAAAATAGTGCTAGCCTACTACAAAAACTATTATAAATACTGCCAGTGTTACTGCAAAAACTACTAGATGTCATCACAAACTACACTTGAATGATGACTATATCAGTTACTTACTACGACTACATCAAGCAAACTAGTACAACCACTATTATTTTCTCTATAAGTACTGCTGCTAATTCTTAGTATTACTACTCCTACTGCTGCTTGTGGTACTGTAGCTATCCCAAATAACAATACTCTTGCTATAGTTGCTACAACTACTAGTTCCTCCTTGTACCTCCTATCTCCTGTTGTGGTGGCAGCCCGGCTGACGGTGAGTGCCCTGTTTTTTTTTCTCCTTATTATCAGTTATTCTGCTTTTTCCTTGGTTTTCTGTTCCCTGCCTGCCTCCCTGTGTTTTCTCCCCTGTGTTCTCTCTCTCTCCCTCTGCTCCTGAGCCCAGCCAACTACCCGCACCTGCACCTCATCAGCCACCTCGACAACCTGCCACACCTGCCAGTAGTCAACCTCATCCCTGCCTGTATTTCAACCCCGGTTCTCCACACCACTCTTGCTTGATCGTAGTTGCTCCGTACCCGGTGCCACCTCTGTGTTCAGGATCTCATGTTTCTTGTTTTCTCACATTTTCCCTGTGCTTAGTCTCTGTCATTTCTATCCCTGTCTCTCTGTCTGTTTCCCTCCCAGGTATACTCACCCTCGTCCTCCGTTCAGTCGGCTGGGCTCGTCCTCCGGACCTCTCCTCTGTGGGCTTCCCCCACGGCGTCCTCCCTTCCTCGGCCCCAGTGTTCCCTGGTTCCCGTCCCGTCGATTTTCCTGTGCCAGCGTTTCCCCGGCATCTTCCTCTCCCTCCACTCCAGTCCCTCAACCCCCTTTTTCCCTAAATGAACCTCCTTCGCTTAGAGTGCTGCGTTTGGTTCCTCTCTGTCCCTACGCCACACCACACCACACCACCCTCCTAACAATCTCCACTACTAATACTACTACCACAACTACAGATACTATAACTGCTACTGTACTAATAGTACCTCTAACACAACTTTTATCATTTCCACCACTATAACCATTACCACTACTATAAAGGAAAAACTACTTTTACTAAAGTTTACTGTTGTCAGTATTATAAAGACAACCCCTACTACTACTGCAACTAGCACTACTATTGTTACTTTTAGTACCATTATTGTTGTGACGACCATGAATATTACTAGTGCTCAAATTGCTGCTTCTGCCTGTTTAGCTACTACAATAAGTTGTAATGCTATATTTTTCTGTAAAACAGAAAATTCTGAACATTAAATGTACAAACAACTAGACAGTTAGCAGTACCAATGTTTGGCATATCTACAAGTAGAATAACATGCGTAGTTAAAAATATACTACAGAGCATTATACATGGATTTACATGAAGACTGCTGCTACAACTGGGCTTCTACTAAAACACTTCTCCTATTGTCTGTACTTGTAATATACAAATCCTTACAAGTAACCTGACTGGCCTCCAGACCTGGTCAGGAAAAAATAACACTACCTGAAACTAAATAATCAGTGTGAGAACTGAGCCAGCAGCTCAGATTGCTGTATGTAGTATCAACAAAACTGATACAGATATCAACAGTAAGAGATAGGTGAACATTATGTGTTAATCTGACTCAATCAATTTTACATTGCTGTTACTGCGTTGACTCACAGCTACTGGCACTGAATCATACACAAAATGCTGAGATCATCCTGTCCTCTGTGATATTCCACTCTCATTTTTCTTTATTTTATTCCCTCACTTGTGTGTAAGTCAGTCTCTCCTTCCCTTTCTCCGGTACTCTATCTGCCGGTGGGCTTCGTCATTTACTGTAATGGTAGTAAGGGCAGGCTCGGGGCAGCTATGTGTGTTCGTGTGTGTCTACATTATTGATTCCCTCTGAGCCCCACCAGGCAGTAATCTGTGTGCTGAAATGTCATTGGCTGTGTGCTGTCAGGCTTCATTACCTGATAATCCAGGCCTCAGCTGATTGGATGCAGTCAGATCCCTCGTTAGGAATTCATGATGATGCAGACTGAGGTCACACTACTGATCGGGGGGGTGATGTCATCTCACCTGAGGCCTTTGGTTGATCAAACTGACCCAGACCACCCAAATCCAGCTTTTATTCTTTGGTGACTTGATCTGAGCTGAGATGATGTGACAAGAGTTGAGCGTTAATAGAAAAAAAAATATATATATACATTAAATTAAAGATTGAAGGGTTTTATTTCAAGAGATGAGATGAACAATGAGATGAGGTCGAGCTAGATGAAATAAATTACTTAGAAATGGTTAGAAGAAAAGAGACAAAATGAGACAAAATGAGGGAAAGATGACATGAGACAAAATAAAAACTATGAAACTAGACATGTTGAACAATGAGATGAGATGGAAGAGTAAATGAGGTGACACCAGCTGAGAAAATTAATTGAAATGAAAGAAAGAAAGAGGAAGACTTGAAACAAGATTCAAGCTTCACAAGAGTTGAAGACTAATTTAGAGGGATGAGATGAGGTGATTCTCAATGTATGACAAGATAAGCCAAGATGAGAGAGGACAATACCATGGACAAGATGAAGTGAAAGATAACATTGGTAAAATACAAGATGACATGAAATGGAAGACCAGAGTGAAGCAGGTGATTGATGAGTTTAGATGAGCTATCATTAGGAGGTATAAAATAGAACTGGATTGGATGAAAAGTAAAGATAATGTAAGAAAAAGTGAGATGAGATGAGACTGCATGGAACAAGAAAGCACAAGATGAGATGAACGAAGAAATTTTTTGAGATGAGTGTCCCTTTGTGTTGAAAAGTGGTGGGGACATAAGGGCTCAGATCAGCGGCGTGAGGGTACACTTGGGTCACGAGATGTGACGATGCACAAGAACGAGATAATAAGATTTGTAACACTAATTGAAGAAATAGGAAATACTGAAAGAAATGAGTGTCTTGATTTGGGGCTTGTTGTTTTATTTGGAAAGAGTTTTGATTGTCTGCCCTGCACTAATTAGTTTCACCTTGTTATCCTCCCCTCAACTGTGTATTTAAGTCAATGTGTTTCCCCTTGTGGGCGGCGAGGTGGTCCAGTGGTTAACACTGTTGCCTCATAGCAAGTGGCTCGTGGGTTCCAACCCTGGTTGCCCCGGCCTTTCTGCACGTTTGCATGTTCTCCCCGTGTCTCTGGCTTCCTCCCACCGTCTAAAGACATGTGGCCTAGGTTGATTGGTGACCTTAAATTGTGTGCGCGTGAGTGGTTGTCCGTCTATGTGTGGCCCTGCGATGGACTGGCGACCTGTCCAGGGTGTACCCTGCCTTTTGCCAGATGTCAGCTGGGATTGGCTCCAGCCCCACCACAACCGTGTAGACAGGATAAGCAGTTGAAGATGTTGCCATTCCGGTGTTTTCCTGTGCTTTGGATAATCTGCCTACTTTCGGATGTTGTGGATTTTCTTTATTGCCTGCTCCCTTTGGGATTTGTTTGCCTGTGTGGACTGCTTGCCTGTTTTGGAGATTTGCTTGCCACCACCTTGCTGTAAGTTTGCCACACAGCCAAACTGTACCTCTGTGTCTTGGTCCAGTCCCAGATTTTCCTAATAAATCCCCTGCTTGACTCATTGTGACAGAGAGGATGCAATATGAGACTGAAATATGACTGAAACAACATGGATTGAAAGATAAGAGAAGACCAGATGAATGTGGAGATGATATAAGATAAGGTGAAAGGTGTGTCTATATACATGAAGAGATGACAGGGGGTGAGATAAGTTATGTCAGAAATAATATGAAATTGATTAGAAGAAGTGACAGATTTAAAATATGCTTACATGAAGTGAGATGAAATGAGACGAGTGAGATAAGGTCAGATGACAGGAGGAGAGATTAGGTGAAACTGAAGGGATGAGGTGTAGGCAAATGGCATGCAATGAGATTCAATCATGATTCAACATAATATTATTTAAACAACATCAAGTGAAAGAGATGAACAAGAACTAAGAAATGAAATGATGAAATGAGAACGTGAGATGAAGCAAGATCAGGCACGATCAAATGTCATGTGATGGAATTTAAGGTACTATTTGTAATCCTAATGCCAAAGTTCAAAACACAGAATTGAAACTATGACTAAAACTAAGACCAAACAACTGAGTTTATTGAAATTTTAAAACTGTCAAAGGCTTGTTCACATCAGTGATATCTTTCATTTATGGAAGTGATGCACAGAAAAGGCAGATTTTCCATCTTAAATTCAAATTGTTAAGATAACAAATTACAGTTTGAAAGGTCAAACTGACACAGATGAAGTCAGATTTCATAAACTATGACAAGACAATAAACTTGAGGTGAAACAACAAGACAAAAAAAGCCTGGATGTGATAAAATGACTTGCATGGCAAGCTGAAATGAAAACGACGTGATCAAACAAGGCCAAAGACGGGGAAAACAGGTCACATGTTATCTTGCTCTGCAGCTTGAGATCTGCTGTGTCATGCAGCCTGAGAAAGGCAAGCAAAGGAGGAAAGAGAACAAAAACAAGGTGAAGCTGCTGGGGAAAAAATCAACACAACAAGCTGAGTCATGAGTGAAACAGAGAGTTTCAAACAGACACAGGGCTGCTTTTTGTGTGTGTTTCTGTGTGTGTGTTTGCGTATAATCTGATATCAAGACTGGAATCAGGAAGCAGTTTCACTTCAACAGAAAGCGTGGAAGTCAGAAGTTAAATGTTAACTTTAATGATGGAACAGCAGCGTCAAAGGGAAGAGAAGTGATTCCTCTTCGAATTTGTTTTCATAACTTGTCACATTTGATGTGACTGTGGTGTAAAGATAGTAGGCTTATGTGTAATAGAAATGTTACCTATCATATTTTGAGGATTTTCTAAGGTCATGTTTGTGTATGTAACTTCCGGACTCTTTCTTTATCATTTTAGATTCAAATATAAAAGCATAAATATAAAATATACAGCTGCTAGCATTAACCAGTAGCCCAGAAATGTCATCTATGACTACAAGTCTATTTACACAGTAACGCCGTTCTCATTAATATGAACACAGTGATGTAATGTCTTTTTGCACCTCTTGTATGAGACAAATAAAGCTTGGTAGTGTTTCAACGTCACTGATACTTAAAACAGGGTGTGTGTGTTTGAGTGTGCGCGTGTCTGAGTGTTGTGTTTGTGTGTTGCAGCTGCCAAGGCCACATAACCCAGTTTACACAGGATCTAAAAATAACTGCGTGAAGCAGCCCAGGATGTGACGCCATGTCGAGCAGAGAGAGCTGAGGCCTTTGGGGCCTGGGAATCCTGGGACACATCCCATTTCAAATGAGTATTTCCTTTTACGATTCCTTGTTTCTCTTTATTTCTTCTCTAAGGACACATATAAAACAACTGAGTGAGCATTATTAATCAACTAGAAACTTAATTTGGACTTAAACATAAAGATGACATTTTAAATCACACTACATGTTTTAGCACCTTATAGATAATAACTTAAGTTATTTATTAGCTACAGTAATAGTTAACAAGGAAATTGTGTCTTAAAAATTAAATATTATTTTACCTTTGTCCACCTTTTTAACATTTTTTGTAACTGCAAGGATAGTTGTTTATTCTTTATTTGGATCTCCAGTCGTTACCTCAGCAATAACTTCTCCCAGTTACATATCACAATTAGTGTAATATTTTTTTGAGAATACAGTTACAGTATCACCTTTACACCCTACACACTGCACTGTTGTTACTGCGAAGAAGAAAAAAACAGTAAAGCAAAATTCAAGATTACAGGAAACAAAGGATTCAAACTTTTCCGAATGGGACATGTCCCTGGCTGAGGTTTCCCTTCTCTCTCTCTCTCTCTCTCTGTCACTCCCTCTGTGTCTGCACCTCGCTTGCCCGCCGACATGTCTGCGTACCAGGAGGTGGAAGTCTGCTGGGCGTGAAGGTGTTGTTGCTGAGGCAACAGCCACGTCAACATAAACAGAGGGGTTAGTAGAGCAGAGAGAGGAATGGAGCTGCAGCCCAAAGCTTCAGTCAGGGATCCACTTACACACAATTAATAATGAATGAGCAGGTTTAGCTGGCAGGGAATTCATGGGAAACGGGTTTGAGAGTTGTTTAAAAATCACCTTTTTGTGGGATATTTGCCGCTCAGATTTCCTGACTTAGTGTTTCAAAAAGGCGGGTAAATCATTCCTGGATCATTGTTTTTCTTTTATAACATCAACAGATGACCATCAACTTTGGTAAAATTTGTTTTCGTAGATAAATATGTATTGATTTTAAGGGTCATTCAGGTCTTCTGAGAATTTGGGAGGTTTTAGTAACTTTAGGGAGTTTTCATTCTAATACTAAAAAAACTAATACTAATAGTCTTCTTGGGCATTCCAGTATTTTTAGACTCATAAGTAAATAAACAAATACATAAATTAGTCCTGGCATTGGGATGAATTTTGACCTTTATGTTATTATATTAGTTAAGGCTAGGTTATTCTTATTACAGTATTTTGTAATTTCGTAATAATTTTCTAGGAAGTAATCTGGAAAGAAGTATGTAATTTGGTACTAATTAGAAGGAAAATAGGGAATGTTCTGATGGAGTTATTTACATTTCAGCCTGCTTTAAAGGAGGCCTATTATGCTTTTCCACATTTTATGACTTATCTACAATGTTATAATGTTGGATGTTCATGTTAAACATGACCAAAGTTAAAGCATTTATAAGAAATCACTGCGAGCAAAAATCTCAGGTTTCCTCCTGTTCTGAACGCTCTGTTTTGAACTGCTTTTTCTATCAAGGGCTCCGTTCTACTTAATACCGAGTCAGATGAGCCGGTGTTCCAAATATGATCATGTGCTCCCACACTAACAGCACGGCAACGCTCAGTCTGCCTGTTACGCCCAGTGACAACAACAGCCTGCTAACATGCTTCAGGTCTTGGCCAATCAGTGGGCTTTGAGAGGGGGGGCTTTAAAGAGACAAGAACATCTACAGCTTGTTCAGACAGAGGCTGAAATGAAGCCCTACATGAAGAATCAGTATAAGAAAAAAAAAATTTTTTTTGAATCATGCAAAGCTGCCATACAGGAGTCACAGAACTACAATATAGGACTGGAAAAGTAGTTTAATTGGTCTCCTTTAAGTAGTCCCGCATGAGGCACACCTCCATTGTGATTTTTTTTCAGCCCCACACAAAACAACAACAACAATGGAAGACAATGAAGAAACTAAGACACTAAGACAGTTCAGGCTGTACTGTAGTCCAAGGCTGTATTACCATTCAAAACAGAGAATTTCCCCATGGCCCACAAAAGCCCCATGGTTCAGTAAGTACGTGTAAGTAAGTACACTTTATTTCAGTAGCACATTTCAATAACAGGGTGCTTCACAGGTACACAGAAAATTCAACAACACCATCCAACAAGAATGTAATTAATGAAAAATATTTCCAAAAATGCCATTCTCTTTTTCCTTTAATTGAGCAGATCTGATGCTGAGAGGAAGTTTGTTCCACAGTGTTAAATGCTTAAAGCACGATCAGTAAATTTGGGATGATTTAACAAAAGTTTGTTTGTGATTATGCACCAATTAATCATCATATGTACAGAAATGATACCAGCCTTAAGGTGGTGATTATATTCTAATTTTGTGGCCTCACTTGTACTGTAACGCCAGGACAATACCTCAGAAGATTTGGACCGGACACCAAAAATAAAGTCTAAAATGTTTGATCAGTTATATTTAGACCACACATCAGAATTTAAAGCTCCACACTACCGGGAATATGATTCTGGTGGGGAAAATACTTAATTCTTTATTTAATTATTTTGATTGGCCTAAAAGTAGCCATTCAACATATTAGAAAATTTGTTTTGTTTTAGTTTCTCTTTTAATTAACATCCAAATCCCCAGAGAAAATACCCTGACTGCTATTTGGGGCTCCTTGCCAAATATTATGAAGCTGCCACGTCAGCGGTATGTCTGATACAACAAAGACAAGTATGATACATGTAACACATATTTTGTTATACAAGCACTTTTGATTTTGGTCACTGCGGCAGAAAGAGGAATTAAACCTTCACTTCTCAGTCTCTCAAAGTGATTGAAGGCATGAAAAGAATTCAAACACGTAAATGGTTTATTAACTTATCCACATTTCTGCTTACATATAAACTCACGTCATGTTTTATGGTGTTGACATCTAAAACAGTGCTAAAGTGAAACAAGAAGCCTGAAAAACATTCCTGTTATGTGAACCTGCCGGGCTTCATTCTTCTTCTGCCAAAACTGCAGAGTCAGAGGCAACTTCCCCTTTGTCATGGCAAAGATTTGACATGGAAATGCCAGATCTTCTCGCCTAAACCAAGAGTTAATGGTTGTACCGACTTTTTTCTCTCTTCAGCAGGAAACAGGTGACACCAGAGACAAATCAGTGGACTTTCCCACAGTGTTTCTCAGGTGCTCTGTAGGAACTTTTAAGGGCACTGAATCTACAGTCAAGCAGGTACGAGAACCAGGTCAGCTCATAAATGTGATATGTTGCACTTTATGCAGGCATAAAGCAGCTTTTAAAAGAAAATAAAATAGCTCACAAAATATTGTCTCCACAAAGTTCGTTTGGTAGCTGAACTGGTGCTTTTGATCATATCACATGACCTTTATTAGCCGTTTCCATTCGTTTAAAGGTGCCGTAGAATACTCATTTTCAGGTACATACTCGTATTTAGGGTTTCTACTAGAAGACGTTTACGTGCTTTAATGTTCAAAAAAACACATGATTTTTGTCATGCTGTGTAGGCTGTTTCTTCAGCACCTCTTTTCACACTTTGTCTGAACAAACCTCCTCTTTAAGGCCCCCCCTCCCTGAAAGCCCACTTGCTTCTGATTGGCCAAATTCCCCAAGCACAGCAGAGGGGCAGGGCCTAACGGACAGAACCAAGGACTGGTGGCGAGGTCAATCTTAAAACGTTTTGCACCGGTTTGCAATGTTATCTGATTGAACGACATGTTTCCTTGCAACGTTGCAGAACATTGTGCAACGGGCTTTGAGGCATGTTTTCTCAGCGTTTGGTGGGCATATCTCAGGTGTTACCCAATCAGCTGCGACAAGTTTCTAAACACGACAGGGTTTTCAAGACACCACCGTTTTCGTTGGAAAAAACCTTTTGCTACGTTTTGTCGGCTCTGAACTCGCCCCTGCTATTCGAGACTAGGCCTCACTGATTACTGTACAAAAACACAACTTTATAACTATATTCACTGGTTTTAGTAAAACTGGATCAGATGTGATGGAGAGAATATTGTCTGGATTTTGATAACTGATAACAGGAGCTTCTGTTGGCCGCAGGTAGTAGTTTTAGTAGTAGTATTAGAAAACATTTACCTTTCCTTCATGACCGTAAAAGCACTTCCTGTAAGTTTTGCACGTACTGAACACCCTCCAGCTGTATTCTCTAGAAGCTTGTACGACCGCTTCTCTGGAATGTGGGCTGGTAAATTCTGGTGGCGTACACATTAATGATCCGTGACGTTACCTCACATGTAGCGCTTGCGAGCTTTCAGTTAAATTTATTCATTTAGCTGATCTAAAGCAACTTACAATTGCTATACATGTCAGAGGTCGCACGCCTCTGGAGCAACTAGGGGTTAAGTGTCTTGCTCAGGGACACATTGGTGGATGGAATCTGGGTCTCTCACACCAAAGGCATGTGTCTTATCCATTGCGTCATCCAGCATTCGCCTGTTTTTCCGTTGTATTTTGCACGCACGACAAGGAGGAAAAAATGGTGTTTGAGGCACACGGTCAGCCTCAGTCACAGTTCCATGTACTGTTTTTGTTAAACTATGCCAAGATAAATAAAGTTTTCCATTCTATGGCTCCTTTAAGGATTTATTAGCTGAAAATTTTCAAAATTAACATCAGGTGACAAAACAAGTTTCATTCTGGACCTTCTGATCATATAAAGGTGAAGAAGCTTATGAAATAAAATGAAAAGTATAATTATTTAAAAAATAAAACAAAGTTAATGTCATAATAATAGCATTAGTTTAAAAACAGAAATACACATCTCAATACATCAGGTTACACATTAAGTAGCTGAGGAGGGA